AATTTTGAACTTAATTAATTAATAACTCTGTCAATATTTGATCAACGAGTTTTTTATTGCATAGGCATATCACCGAAGATGTTCTCTACAAAATGGCCAAATTTGAGGGTATGTTTAGGGGGAGGACACCCCCCCTTAATACTAACAAAATGAATATTGATATTTTTATTAACTATTGCAGGATGAATACTACTAATATTCATCATATTAGAGATGTAGTATTCATCTTAGTAACTACCATAGGATGAAAAATACTATAAGATGAATACTAAGCCTACTAGGGGAAGGGGAGGGTTAAAAACCCACCGAAAACCACTGGATTTCGAGTATATAATTTCAATTCATTTCTAGAAAGTTTGAAAAAACACATGGTGCAGAAAATTCCAGTCGTCAACGCCCTAGTTGGTATAACGGATGTTAGATCATCCAACTGATTTGTTGTTTCATCACGCGTTCTATAAACTAGCAAATTGTCTTGAATTGAGATGAATAAACGTTCTGATGGATCAGTAAGTCACAAACTAAATTAGCGCAGCAAGCAATGTTATCAATTAATAATTCGACATTTCCTGAGCATCGTCAGACTTAAATAGTATATTTGCAAATTCTAACTTCAAATGGATCAAAAATACGCAAACAGTAAGTGGTGTCGAAATTGCATAGCTGCTAAAAGAAAAGAAATTAATGCTGCAAACCCACAAAGTAGACCGTTACTCAAACTTGAACATCAGATTTATTGATATTCAAAGTTAATGGAAGCATAAAGACTTTGCTACTATTCGCTCCTCAATGACCTCTTCGCTAAACAAAACTTTATCATTTGCTATCATTATTATTTATTTATACTCATGAATAATACCGTGGAAAGCAGAAACTCTCATATCTAGAGAAGTAAGACTGGAAAAACGAATTTGAAAAAATGTCTCGTTTTTCTCGATTGCGGTAAACTTGCTTCACAATGCGATCGCAATGTGGTTACTTTCGTTACTTTTTTCTGAAGCACATATGTATCAGAAGAATTTTTCAAAATATGGCATCCCATGAAGCAAGGAACAAATCATTTTCCCGAGACGTCCCAGTTCGCTGTTGAATAATTATCAATAAATCTTTCCTGGTCTACACCCCCGATATTTGAGCATTGATCCTAACATAAAACCATATAATTTTATTTGCTAATGACTGAAAAACGTGACTGACATTCTTTAATTATAGAAGAGAAAAAATAATCTTATATAATTGATCGATATGTGTACATATGGTTAAATTTTCTTTTACAACAAGAAGCTTAAGAAATATTTATAAAAATAGATATCGCTCATCGTCGCTGATAGACATATCCTATGTCGAACTTTTTTTCCTATTCTGATTGGTCCATGTGTCTTATTACCTACAACGTTAATCTACAATTAATTTTCACGGTAGTTTTCTTATTTTCTGAAAAAAACTGTGCGTGTTTTTCGAGTCAACTGTTTTTCGAGAAAATACTACGGTGCTTTCAACCGATTAGTGGTTAATTTAAAACCAACATTTACTATAGGTTATGTTTCCATTTTCCATTCTCAGGTTGTTTGTGTTCTAAGTCATTGTAAAAAGTCGTACGAATATTTTTTGTAATACCCGGTGTATGCGAGTCGTGTGATTTCAATGAAGACCAAAATTAAGATCGGCATTACGGATTGTGCTCGTTATGTGAATTATGAAAAATGGTTTCTTGATGCGCCTCAATTGGTTGATGTTATATGTTTATCTTATCATCTCGATAACGCTGATGATGTTGAAAAATGTGACGGCATGTGGATGCTTCATTGTCTGTCCTTCTGAATTTGACTAAAAGAGTCAGATAAACTTTTTTCATTTAAGGCGTTTGTTTATCTGGTGGAGAAGATGTTCATCCAAAAGTCTATAAAAAACCAGAAGTATTAGAAAAATTAAGTTTGGATGATATTGATGAAAATCGTGATGATTTTGAATTGAAAGTAATTGAAAAAGCATTAAAGAACAAACTACCGATACTTGGAATATGTAGAGGTATGCAATTGTTTAACTGCTATCTCGGAGGAACGCTTATGCATGACATTCCAACTGTTACAAATTTAAATAGTCATGGCAAAATACAAGGTGAATAAAGTTCGATGAAACGTGTCGAAAATATCGTTTTTTCCCTATTAATTTTTCTTCTTTCAGGAATTGATCAACGTCATGATATTACTGTTGAAGAAAAAACACTTTTAAATCAAATAACTGGCTGTTTGAAGGGTGCTGTTAATTCAAGTCATCATCAGTGTGTTGGTACATTAGCAAATGATTTATTGATTGCAGCTAAAGCTGAAGGTATATTATCCATAAGTAATTCCTTACCTCGTATCATCACCTATTTTTACATCCATTGGTAGATCCAATTGTTGAGGCAACACAATGGAGAAATATTAATGAAAATTCATTTTTTCTTGGCGTTCAATGGCATCCTGAACGAATGCCTGATCAAGAAAATCCATTTGCATCAAAAATTCGTCAAGCATTTTTAGACTCTATTATTGATAAAACTGTTAAATCAAATACAACATCAACAACTTGTTGATAAGATCAAAATCAATGCATTTAGACGTATGCGTTTATCTCTCTCTCTCACTCTCCTTTCTTTGTCTCTCACGTACTTTGTACTAATCTCTTCAAACACAACTTTTGTACATGAATGAATTTATGTTGATTTTGAAGCGATCACTGTGTCTGATACATACATGAATAGGAAACTAAATTGATCTTATTTAAGCTAATTCAAAAATGGCGCAGAATTTTTTTTTGCAATTGTTTTATGTAGGTGGATAGAGATCATCGAGCTGATTAAGAATATGCCAGTTTGACCCTTTGGAAACCCTTTTTATTAGGAAAAAAAGTGTAAAGTTTCCTGAAATCCTTCGTTTCAAAAAATATCTAATTTTCGAAAAAAAATCTCGAAAAACTGCAGTTTTAAGGGAAAACTTTCTAGAGGCCCTCTAGAAAACCTCTGAAGATCTGAAGAACGAAACAGATGAAAATTAGATATTTTTTGCAACAGAAGGATTTCAGAAAATTTTACACTCCTCAAGGCTTTTCCTAGCAAAAAGGGTTTCCAAAGGCTCAAACTGGCATATTCTTAATCAGCTCCATGATCTCTATCCACCTACATCAAAAAATTGCGAAAGAAATTCTACCCCATATTTGAATTAGCGGCACATACGAGAAATATTAGTTTATTTTTTTAAAGTCTAATCATAAAGTCCCCTTCTATATTTCCTGCATGTATTTTTCCAAGCTGATATGTTAAAATAATAATCTTTTATTTTTATGTATACACAGATTATTTCAAGATAATCAGTCAGCCTGTTTGCAACAGCCTTTATTGTTTTTCTTTTGAAAATGCAAATATTTTTTATCAAATTCTATTCTAGTGGAAAAATTTGATGTAGCGTCATGTCTTTTTTTCTTAAAGAAATTACCGTGGTATTTACGCGTGTTATAATTCGACGACCACTTAGTGAGACTGAATAGTAAAAATGGTTCAAGTCCTTCAACATTGTAGTTTTCTACAAATGCTGTTACTGTTTCTTTACTTTTTTATCGGGGCGAAAGCGTATTTTTCCTAGAGGGATTATGAATTGACGTGAATTATGAAAAACGTTATTTTATTCTATATATATATATATAATGCGTTATATCTATTTGGTTTTGACTTCATGTTTATTACTTTTCATCATTCCAGATGTAACACAGTTAATAATTAGACAATAATTACTTAACTATGGTTTTATTTAGTAAATTTCAACCATTACTTAAAAGTATTATTTCTTCTCCTCGTCAAGAATTACAAAAAGGTTTGTACCAATCTATTTGGTTTTATTATACCTAATTCTTATCAGTCGAGATATATTAACTTTTGAAGAAGAAATGATCTAATATATCTTGTAATTAGTCAAATCGCTAATATTTTTAAATTTAATAAGTCTTCAAACTATATGGTTTGTTTGTTTTCTTTTCTCATATAGTAATTAAACGATGGAGCTCGGAAAGACGAATGAAGCTTGTTATGTCAGAATTTGATGAACGAAAATTTTTGGATGTTTGTGTAAGTTTTTCGACCTTTTTATCTTGTTTTGTAATCGTACTTGTTATTTTTGGTCATTTTACGTTAATTTTTTCTAGCACTATTACTTTTTTATCGGATTGATACCAACATCTTTAATTATTTTCTATGCAAATGTTTTCGTTGGTATGTATCGTTATATATTTTACCGAACAACACTGTTCTGAATTCGATATTGCTCCACAATCAATTAGACAACCGTTTTTTCAATCGTCTTGCTTTAGTATTTAATTCAATCTGCTGGAAAAACGATAGATATTCCTCATTGTTTTCCCATTTAGGGCCAGCAACACTAACAGAAATTCCAGAAGGTTATGAACCACGACACTGGGAATATTTCAAAGTAAAAATCGATCTGAATTTTTAACTACCGATTAGATTTATGATGATTTATTATTTATAGCATCCAATCAAGCGATTTCTTGGTCGGTATTTAGTACAACCAGTTGATGAACGTTATGAAATATCATTACATGCTATCTATGTTGGAATTATGAAAGATCGCTTAAGGTACACTGTTTATGTTAGCTTTACAAATATAGATACATTTAATAAGTTGCACTGTTTCTAGAGGTTTAGAACGAAAAGTTCAACGTTTACAATATCAACGTGGTGATTATAAAGGATGGTATTATCGTCCGGCAGTTGACACACAGGCTGAATTAGAAACAAAACATGCAGAAGCAATATCACGTGGCTTCTCAGCTGATCGGGGTACAATGAATCTTCCTGGTCCAGTCATACCTCCTAGACCCAATTACAGTGACAAACCATAAAAAAAATGTTACTCTAATTTTTTTTCCCAATAACTTTTCTGTTTTTCCATTCGCCTCCATAGATTCTAGTTCGATTCGTTCAACATTTTTTTTCTAGTTTTTGCTATTTACACGAATTGCACCTTTGTTTGTAATAAAACTCATTTGTACATCAACAATGCTTTCATTAGCCGAACATTACCCGAGGAATTGGAGTCAATCAGTTGTCTTTTCTTAACAAGTAACGGGTGGCTCATAAAGAATTGTGCTGTTAGTATTTTCAAACTTTCTCCTCCTTATACTTGATTGAGCTAGTTTTTTTACCAAAAGATTCTCCGTTGAGTTCTCTACAAAAAATGTATTGATTGTTTTATTGTAAAATCTAAAGGTGCAAAATACCGTGAGAAAATGTAAGAAGTATAAAAATGTAGAAAAAATAAACGTAGTTACAGTTTCTTTTAGTATTATCTACAAAAAGTTTGTGAGAGAGGAAAGCTGAAGTAACCACCATGTATGCCTTGAAAAGCTCTATTTTCCGTCTATAATTTAAATAAGTTCCAGTTTTCAGTCGCAAGAATTTCATTATTTTTTAGCAATTTTTCCAAAACTGATGATTGGTTACCAATAATTTGAGCCTTCCAATAAAACAAATAAAGCTTAGTCAAATTTTATCCATTCAGGTTAATTTTTTTAATTTTGAAAACAAATGATTAGTCGTTAGCCGTCGGATCTCTAAGATTTGAAAAACAAATTTGTTTTTTTTCCACCGCGCAAAAAAAAAGGTGACAACAACTTTTGTTCTCTTCACTTGGTTGCTGAGAAGTTAATCCTTGCGTCGGATATTTAGATTTAAACGATTTTTGCTCTACACAACGAGAAAGAGTGCATTTGAAACTACACAAAAATATACTGAAACCGTGTTTTAATGCTTGTAAAACCATTCAAAAAAATTTCGCTCTCTTTGAGAAAATATGTTTATTTTTTCTACATTTTTGTATTTCTCACATTTTCTCATGGCATTTCGCACCTTCGGATTTTACAATAAAACGGTCAATACATTTTTTGTAGAGAATTCAACGGAGAATCTGTTGGTAAAAAAACTAGCTCAATCAAATGTAAGGAGGAAAAATCTTGAAGATATTAACAGTGCAATTCTTTATGGATCACCCGTTAGATATGACCAGCCTATGTCATCTACTTTTATGACTGGTCGAACAATGTTATTTGACGCATGGCATTATGCATGTCAATTGCATGTCGCACTTGTTATTGTTCTTATTTCATAACTCTTATCTTGGACAGAAACAGCACAAAAAATTGATTGTTCTTCCATCTTTATAGAGCTATATATTACACATTAGTCGAAGAACAAGAAAAAAGGAAAGACTTTTGGACTGTGTATTATATTTTGTTATTTTTTTCCGAAAAGAAAAAACATCTTTTATACATATATACACAATAGATTTATACCATATAGAAAAAGTGCAAATCAGTGTTTATCTGTATTTAAAAGTGTATGATAAGTTTCGTATGATAATTTTCTTAACACTGTATAACTGAAAAGTTATTAAATACGTTGTGCGGTTATATGACAACATATTGTCTTACATTGTATTTTTAAGTTAGTTCTATATAGTAACTCGACGTGTAAATATTTTTAATTTACAACTATCTCATCGAGAGACCGCAACAATTGGATATTACCCAATTAAGTAGCGAATATGTCTTTTTCTCTGTTTTCAAGACAAAGATGCACATGAAAATTACAATTGAATTTGATGGAAGGATGATCAATGTACAACGGAAAATGTTCATGTAAATATATACGAAAAAGTAAAGTAGAGTTAGGACTAGGCAAGCTAAGCTAAACTTTTGTGAAATAAACAGCATGTCTAAGACGAGATATCTCCTTATTTCTGCGGTTCTTTTTGTAAACGATTTATTCGAAGTTTTTCATACATTTATTTGAGGATGAAGCAAAGTATTACGTTATCTAAGGTGATTCGCTGTTAGCTGTCGTAGAAAATCATCTATAAATGAAGAATATTTAAATTTGTTTAGAGAACATAATCAAGAAATTTTTTTAACTTAGGCCTCGTCTCAATTAACTTTACAACCAATCAGCATCCTTGATTTCGACTTAAGTCATGTTTTTGTGACGACTTAAATTTTTATCAACCAATCAGATTCGTTAATGCTTTTTAACTTTTGTAGCTTGAAGCTGACCTTAGAATTTAGGTTTTCTTTCGGCTAGAAAAAGACCGATGACTCTTTATCTCTTTAAAAGCTTTCAACGTTGTTTCGTAGGATTGCTTCGATTTTCTGATATTTAAGATCATGAAAAATGTTCCCAGTGATTCTATTAGCTTTTGAAAGGCTGTTAGTTTTATTATAATTTAGAAAAGATCGGAAGAAAATACGGAAGGTGTATCTTGAAATGTCATTGTGTGCCAATTTAGTCTAATGTCATTTTGTGCCAATTTAGTCTGTATCCAACATTTAGTACATCTAGTACGATTATGTCAATTTGCCTGTTTGTTGTGTGTATGTATATCGATCTCAATGTCTAGTTATTTCGTTGATTTATGTTATTTATTATTTTAAGCAGGCAAAGATTGACAACTAGTACACTTTTTAGTTCGCTTTTATCTATTAAACTATTCTTTTTTCAACTACATAAAATCTGATTATACAAATGAAAATCGAAAATAAAATTAAGACATTATGAAATTTTGATCTTCTAAAAAATCTAGATATAGTTTTAAGTTAAATGGATGTATAACAACGTGATCTTCAGAAAAAAGGTAAGTATTATTTTCCAAAAATTGTTAAATATTTTAAAATTCCTTGATATTTTATCTTGAAAACTCCCACTGTTATACACGCAAGTAAGAACTAAAATAAAAGCATCTGTTCTAAAAACATTTTATTAGAGAAATCTATTTTGTCTAAGATATGGCTAAAAATAATAGTTTTTTTGCATTCTTCTGGGGACGACAAATAAATGAAGAATTGCAGAAGACCTGCTCTAAATAATACGAGTTAAAAATCTTTTTATAGAGCTGAAATATGTAGTGTGTCGTAACAGTCGAAGTTTTTTATTATTGAAGATTTTTATCATTTTGTAAACAGTGTGAATTTTCTTTGTAAAACAAGCTCGTTTTCTTTCTCCCCTCTCGTTCTCGTCTTAACAACGTCCTCGTCATTGTCATAACCTTGATTTCGACGTTACAAGAAAAAGAAAATCCCAAGAAAAAACCGCATTAGACTTTTTTTTTTGTTCCTTTCATCTGCTCACGTATAGACGATAGACAGCGGTTCATATATAGAGTCGTTATTCGTTATTCATTCTTTCTCTTATGTTTTTGCCTTGATTATATATATATAATCATATATTATACAATGGCATGTTTTTCTGGTGAAAAAAAAAGAAAAAAATTCAGATATTCTCGTAATTTTTATTTTTACTGAAGGTCAATTGCCAAACATACAGTGTATAGTATTAGACACAACATACACACACATAGAGTTTTAGCCGAGTTATTATTATTTTTTTCTTCTTTTTTTTTTTCCTCTGCTCATATAGACACAAGAAAAAATTAAACCAATAAAGAAAGAAAGGATTTTTTCGACATGTTTTTGTGTGTGCGGTTCTTTAACATTTGAGCAAGAAAAAACAGTGAAGACGGCAGCAGAAACGCACAAACAGTGCGTTTGGCTGCTGCCAAGGTATATTAAATGCTCGATATACGATCCAAAAGAATGGTAAGCATAATGAATTTTTTTAATTAAAAAATAATTATTCTGATCTCATTAGTCCACATCTTGTCGGGAAAAATCTAGCCGTTGCCTGTCATATATTTAACAACATCCTATAAAAAATCTTGTTTCTATTCAAAACAAATAGAACAATGAAAAATACATTCTCTCAGGACTATTATTTTGATGTTCATAATATTCGATGGACCAATATAACATTGATATAATACGACCTTGAAATAATAAATTATTATTACCAAATCTATTCTGATATCAATTTTTGATCCTTTTTTTAGATTTAAATGAAGAAATAAGAACAAGACCAGTCATCAATCATAAAGTGTCAATCAAGATTATTCAATTGTCGTCGTTGTCATCATCTTCTGCACAGCAAGATAATAAAATGAGTGATAAAATTCTTAAAATTGTTGGACGTTATATTTATGATAGTCGGGGAAATCCAACAGTCGAAGTTGATTTATGGTCATCTAAAGGTAATTTTGAGTATTGTCTCAAAATAATTCACGTTTTGATAACAAATTTTGTTTTTCTAAAAGGTCTCTTTCGTGCTGGTGTACCATCAGGTGCTTCAACGGGAATTTATGAAGCATTAGAATTACGTGATGGTGATAAAAATGTTCATCATGGAAAAGGTACATGATTAACTTTGTTTTTTAAAAATAATAATTTTGATAATAAATATTTTTGTTATGTTAGGTGTAGAAAAAGCTGTAGCTAATGTGAAGACATTGGGAGATATGTTAATTGAAGTAATAATTCTTGAGATAATTTATTATGATAGTTAAATCTTAATGTTTTGTAATTTTATTCTTAGAAAGGTTTTGATGTTACACAACAAACAGAAATTGATAATTTTATGATTCAAGCTGATGGAACAGATACGAAAAGTAAACTATCACACTAACAAAAAAAAACTTAACAAGTATCATTTACTTTGTGTTCAGAAAAATATGGTGCCAATGCTATTCTTGGTATATCTATCGCATGTTGCAAAGCTGGTGCAGCGCATAAAAATATACCACTATATCAATATATATCAACATTATCCAGTGGTTCAACAATTCAGTTACCGGTACCTGCGTTTAATGTCATTAATGGAGGAAGTCATGCTGGAAATAAATTAGCCATGCAAGAATTTATGCTTTTACCAACAGGTGTACTAAATTAAAAAACACATGAAAAAAATGGTGATAACGTAATTTTTTTGTTAATTTTTATTATTGAATAGGTGCAACAAATTTCAAAGAAGCAATGCGTATGGGTTCAGAAGTTTATCATCATTTAAAAAATTTGTTAGTTATTCGATTTTGTCTTATTTTCTTTAATTTATCTTCTTTATTTATTTAGAATCAAAAAACAATATGGTCTTGATGCTACAAATGTTGGAGATGAAGGAGGATTTGCTCCTAATATTGAAAGTGCTGAAAAAGGTCTTAATATTCTTGTTGTTATTTGCAATGAACATCTCTTCAATGTCTTGTTGTATTTTAGCTCTTGATATCATTGTTGAAGCAATAGATAAAGCCGGCTATAACGGAAAAATTAAAATTGGTATGGACGTTGCTGCTAGTGAGTTTTGTGATGAAAAAACAAAACAGTATGATTTGAACAATAAAGATCCAAATAATCCCAAAATAGTATGTTGAGAAATCTCGAATTGATGCTATTCATCTATCGTTTAATATCTTTTTTAGCACTCATCCGAAGATTTAGTCAATTTTTACGCAGAAATAGTAGGAAAATATCCAATAATATCAATTGAAGATGGTTTTGATCAAGATGATTGGACTGGTTTTCAATTACTTTTACAACGACTGAAAGAACAAAACAGAAATGTACAATTAGTGGGGTAAGTGAAATAGTTGGGCACATAGTGTATCAAATTAAATGTTAATCGTTCTTGGTTTATTTAGTGATGATTTAACAGTTACAAATGTCAAACGTATTCAAACAGCCATTGATAAAAAAGCATGTGATTGTCTTTTGCTTAAAGTAAATCAAATTGGATCTGTGACAGAAGCAATTTCAGCGTAAGTTTATCATTCAATGAGTACCTGTAATAAAAATGTTTCTTATTTTTTTAGATGTAATTTGGCTCGTGGAGCTGGATGGGGTGTGATGGTCAGTCATCGTTCAGGTGAAACAGAAGATACATTTATTGCTGATCTTGTTGTTGGTTTAGGAACAGGACAAGTATGTTTTAACAATATGCATCCATACCTTTTTTTATCACAAAATTATAGTTTTTGCTCGAAACAACTTTGTTTGCTTAGTTATTATTCTAGCACTTGTGTTGTCATTTTTAGATCAAAACTGGCGCTCCATGTCGCAGTGAACGTTTAGCCAAATATAATCAAATGCTACGTATCGAAGAAGAATTGGGTTCAAATGCTAAATATAGTGGCGAAAGTGCTTTCATAAAGAAATAAATTATATTTATTTCGTATAACAACCTCGATACAATGATATTGCATCTTAGTCTTCTCTTTCTCTCCCATTGTCATCATTGCCGTACAAGTACTTATTTAGAATTTAAAAATACAGAATCTTTTTAGGTAAATTTTAAAGTCTTTCTTACATTAACAGTATGTAGACTTACCCGTTAGTTTAGTGGATTACTGACTTTCGTCTCTTTTTTTCTTTCTTTTTCACGTGTTGTGTGGTGCGAGCGCATATTTCGTTTCTATTTTCTTTTTAGTGTGTATCTATTCATTCATCGTTTTCTATTTTTAAAAAAACGGGCAAGAGTGTTCCTCCCCGGTGGTTTACTGTACAAAGGACAAAAAAAAATTAAAGTCAAAAATGAATTGACTAATTTTTACTCGTAATACACACAACAACCAAAATCAACCGATTTGTATACGCATGATTATTCTCTTCTTGTCTTGGCTGCAATTTTAATTCTTCAACTGCAGTTCGCAATTCTTTTATTTGTTTTCCCTTTTTTCAATATTGTTGTTTGCCTCATAGTTTGTGACAGTCTAGTTTCGCCAAAATAAAAAATATTACCAGAAAAAAAACCCGAATTAATTGAGTGATGAAAAGGATGATCACTGTACTCGACAGGTTTTTTTTAGATGTTTGAAAAACACGTGTATCTAAATCTAAACACGAAGCTACAAGTCTATATTAGAATGCATATTTATATGAAAAACTTATCAAAATGTGAAAAAACTAGCCTTTCTCGGATGAACACTCTATTGATGTCTATGTTCTTTCTATAGGTGCATACTTTATTTGTTTATCACAATTTATGGGAAACTTATTATTGTTCTTCCATTAGTATACAGCATTTTACTTTTGTACAAAATTTCGTACAAAACAACTAAATGCTTGCAACTAGCACAGTTGGAAAGATTACTTGTCTATCTCTTAAAACTTCGATCTGAGTTGTGAACATGTGAATTGTAAATAACGGGTGTACCATAATGAATGATATCCTCCGTATTTTCTCTTTTTCATTTATTCCTTTTTGTCCTAGGGCTAATGCTTTTTAAAAGGTTCGCCATTTCACTCCCTTCAGAAAATAAGAACATTTTTCTATATATTATCAAAATAAAAAGATATAGAGGAAATACTACGAAGCTGCAATCTCGACAAGTTTGTAATCAAAAACACAGTATCTTCAAGTTCAGTTTACCTCATATTTTGGGATATAAAAAAGGAAGATGGTGATTTTTGTAGCCCTTTAAAACTCTATCAACTGGTTGTATTGAGAACTCTCTATAATCGCAAGCGGTCGGAACAGAGTTATTTTGCGTTTCAAAAATCATCGTTTTCAAACTGCAGTTTAGAGGCACGAAAATTTTTATAACTCGACTATAATAAAACATGTTGAGATCAAGTTTGTTTTATCTTAAAGCAGGATAATTCTTCTATCATAGACGAACAGAGAAAGTTCAACAGCTCTAATTTACCTTTGCTATGGTCCAACAAGTCAAATTTTCTCTTTTTCTGGTGAATTTTGATAAAATTGCCGTTTATGGCAGAGAACACGTTTAAAGCGAGCCGATCATACATAAAAAGAAAGACAACACTTCGAAGCACTGAATCGTACATTTCGATTCCACTTTGTTGCATCGGATCGCATTCAAAATAATTATTTTTCATTCTGCTTTGGGTTACAAACTTGTCGAGATTGCAGCTTCGTAGTATTTCCTCTATATCTTTTTATTTTGATAATATATAGAAAAATGTTCTTATTTTCTGAAGGGAGTGAAATGGCGAACCTTTTAAAAAGCATTAGCCCTAGGACAAAAAGGAATAAATGAAAAAGAGAAAATACGGAGGATATCATTCATTATGGTACACCCGTTATTTACAATTCACATGTTCACAACTCAGATCGAAGTTTTAAGAGATAGACAAGTAATCTTTCTAACTGTGCTACTTGCAAGCAACAGGTTAAATTAACAGCTTATTGTGTCTGCATTAGAATAGATCTTAGCAAATACTAATCAAGGTGTTAAAATTCTCAAAAACAGTCATCCTCGATCGACAAAACCGCAATAAAATGTTTTTTTTTAATGATTGACAAAAACCAATAGAGACAATTTTTTTGGTAATGAGTTTTGTAGGGGGAAATCAAATGAATATTTCATATATACTTATAAAAAATAAATCACTTATGAAGCATGAGCAATAAAAAATGCTATGACCAAACTGGGAATTGTCTGATAATTAAAATAAAGTGAAAAAACACAAAGGGATGCTTATTTTGCAATTAAATAACATGTAGAAATTAGCATTAGCTTAGCAGAAGCTACATTGAAAAGATAGACGACTGCTGAATATTAACAGTTGTAATTAAATATACATGTATTGAGCAAAAACTATTTAAACTATTATATTAGACTAGGACTTATTGCTGGTTTTTCGAACTTTCACGTCCCGATTGTTTTATGACCGAATACGCTTTTAAATGTGTGAGATACAAAAACTAAGAACTTTGTGTACTTGATACATACTAAATGCTCTTCTTAAGATAATAATACATTCAAGAAAAACAATTCCACATCTGTATCGTGCGTGCATTAGACTTTATTTTAAACTAGTTCGATTAGATGTTTTTTCAGTGATTCAGGAAACTAAAATAATTTTAAACATATACAAATAATTGCTTCATTTGTTGCCCTTGATCGAAAGATATCTATCAATTATCGAATAAGTAATTTATAAGAGAACAAGTAATTAAGAACAACAATCCCATAATAAATTTCTAAAAGGATTATATAACGATGTCAATCATTTTTCTTATTAATCTTGTCCGATGCATTGGGTCTTCAAAAATATGAACTTGGATAATCGTTAAGTTTGGCTCATTAGAAAATAGATTAACATGAGCAACTGTATCTTTTGCGAGCTGTTTACTGTCACGATCTCAACATGTGTCTTGTAGTGACAACTACGTCGCTGTGTGTTTTTGATTCTAAAACATAAGCTTCATGAACAATATAAACACGTTCACTAAGCACACAATTAACAGTGATTAGCATAAATGGTGATTGCTTTAAGAATTACAATTTGCGTCCGATTGGTAAGAGATTTACGTAAAGTAAGGATTCATGTCCAGAGAGAAAACTACAGTTGCAGTCAATGTAATATAAGTAGATCAAGAAAGTTCATAAATAAATACACATCCTGCTGTTTTCATTCTGAGGTGAAAATTGGAGGGAGAAAAATTTGACACAAAACTAAATTTCTTATTTTTTCTCACATAGTATTCTTGATGATCGCAACGGAACTATTTTTCAGTTCAGTCTAGTTGACAAAGTTTGTCTGCGTAGATAGACGTCGGTAGGTCATTTAGCACGTAGAAAGATCTCTGAGATTTCTCTTGCGAAACGCCACGGGCAAGGTATAATCATCCCAGACAAAGTCGGTTTGATAGTTTGACCCATTGATCTAACGGCCAAGGGATGCCGTTGCTACGGATTCCGTCGATTATTTGAGGCAGTTTTATCTCGCCTTAAATACATTGCAAAAGAATTGTAATCAATAATGATCCATTCAAAATAAAACTAAGTTTGTAATGTTGTAAATGTACTTGGACTACACTTAGAACAAGTTCAGTTTTATTTTGAATGGATAGTTATTGATTACAATTCTTTTACAATGTATTTAAGGCAAGGTAAAACTGCCCCGAAAAATCAACGAAGAGAATCACGAAAGGAAGTACTTTTTTTGTTGGCCGTTAGATCACATTCTTTTCGTCATTCCAAACGATAGCTCGAGTCATAATTATGTAATGTAATTAATAATGATTGCCTGTTAGTTCCTTGTGAAATAGTGAATAATTGGTTTCGTCGTATCCTATAAATATAATTCAGATTGTCTGTAGCTGATAGATACTATTCGTTATCTTAAATTCGATGCATGTCGATCTATCATTTTGTTTTCAGAAGCGTGAAATTAAAAGGGTTCTGTCGAATCGGCATTAAACCTCGACTAGTATTATTTTTTCACTATATTTGTAGATCAGGCTTTTCATCAGCCGAAGTTTGAGATAACAGTCATGTCCAGTGAACATTTACAATTGAAAGGTGTGTTAGTGGGTCATAATGATTGGGTTACACAAATAGCCACAACACCTCAATTTCCCGATATTGTATTGAGTGCATCACGTGATAAAAGTATAATTATTTGGCAATTATCTAATCAATTAGATTCGGTTGGTGATACAAATTCATGTGGTTATCCAAATAAAGCATTACGTGGTCATTCTCATTTTGTTTCGGACGTTGTCATATCATCTGATGGCTTATTTGCTGTCAGTGGCTCATGGGATGGTTCATTGAGATTATGGGATTTATCGGTGGGAACATCGACCAGACAGTTTGTTAATCACAAAAAAGATGTATTAAGTGTAGCATTTTCAGCCGATAATCGTCAAATTGTCAGCGGTTCACGTGATAAAACAATTAAATTATGGAACACTGTTGGCCAGTGTAAATATACAATACAAGATGATAATCACTCAGACTGGATATCATGTGTTCGATTTTCGCCAAATCAAAAAGATCCACTTATCATATCAGCTGGATGGGATAAACTCGTGAAGGTGAAGGATTTTTCCTGCGTTGTTTTCTTTTCAATTTAAAGATACATATTTCTCATTTTAGGTATGGAATCTGACAAATTGTAAATTACGTACGAATCATTACGGTCATAATGCTTATTTGAATACTGTCACAGTTTCTCCCGATGGCTCACTTTGTGCTAGTGGAGGACGAGATTGCCAGGCGATGTTGTGGGATTTGAATGATGGTAAACATTTGTACACACTAGACGCTGGTGATACAATAAATGCATTGTGTTTCTCACCAAATCGTTATTGGTTGTGTGCAGGTATGACACAATGGAAAATACTTTATTCCCAGATACTAATTTTCTTTTCTCCTTTTTTTAGCTAGCGGTACATCGATTAAAATATGGGACTTGGAGACTAAAACAATTGCTGACGAAGTCAAATCCGATAAACAATGTACATCATTAGCATGGTCAGCTGATGGGCAAACATTATTCGCTGGATTTACCAATAAACAAATACGTGTATTTGAAGTAAAACAACGTTAATTAACTCTCCGATAGCAATCACACAACGCACAATTTCGGATGATTTTGAACCGTACCAAAAGTTGAAAAGGGCTTTCTATTTTCCGCTGGTGTTTTTAGGTTTATTTTTTATTGTTATGCGATCAAAAGAGTTTGTACGTCGTTTGTTTTTGTTACTTACGATTATTATTATCACAATTGTCCGAAAATAAACATCATGAAATAAAAATCAAAAACGTCTTTGTTTGTTTTCATACTAATATTTGAAGAAGAAAGTGAGTCGATCAATCAGTATTTATCTCATTTAATTTATTTTTTAACATGAAAATGTGTAGGTTTTTTTTTGTTCATACGAATCCACTAAAGATTAAATGTATATTTTCCCTCCTCTGAAAAAAGTAGTTCGTGCAATAAGAGATACTAAGGTCTCTAATGGTTTTAAAATTAGTTTGTTTTTGTTCTTATTCATGCCATATCTGTCTGTTGTCTATAGATCATTTTTAACGTCCACGGATTTAAGCAACAATAGAAAGCGAAGTTTTCTTTCAGGCAAAACCATTCGATGTATAATGATCGAATATCAAGAAGTTTAGAATAATCACACAGTAAATGTAAACAGCAGATGATATTGAAAAACCATTCAGAAGTCTAGAACAGAAAAATAGACGTTAGAAAGCGAAGTTTTCTTTCAGGCAAAACCATTCGATGTATAATGATCGAATATCAAGAAGTTTAGAATAATCACACAGTAAATGTAAACAGCAGATGATATTGAAAAACCATTCAGAAGTCTAGAACAGAAAAATAGACGTTAGCTATTTCAAAATCTTTTACAATCAAAATTTTTATTCGTTATTAGCATATAATTCGTTATGCTGATCCGTAGTTATTTATTTCTTCTTTCTGATGTTCATTGTTATTAGATTCTGTCAATGGTGTTGAATTATCTGATGATTTATTATAAAACGGAAATTCAAATAGGAAAATGACTTTAATAATATGCGGAATATTTTTATAAACAATCCTTGGCATTACAATTAATGGACTCGTTTGTGTTTTATACAGTCGGAAATCTTCTCGTTGTCCGAAACGTTGTTCCATTGATTTTTCCAATGGTGGAATACCACTTAAAAATAATAATAGAAACATTAAAAATAGCGGACTTAATATTGCTACCCATTTAGCCTCAAACAATATTGGTACAGCTAGTAAAAACACTCCCCACCACACCATCATCTCTCCAAAGTAATTGGGATGTCTGCTATATTTCCATAGTCCCTTATCACACCAATGATTGTGATTGGTTGGGTCTTGTTTATACACTAACTTCTGCACATCAGCGATGGCCTCGATACATACACCAATAGCCCACAAACATATACCAGCTATATCAAAACCGTCGATGTTTGGGTTTTTATTTGATGAATTAATAAATGTGACGGGCAACGAAACGACCCAAACCCACAATATTTGAAATGCATAAAAACCTAATAATTTGAAAAAATTTGTTCGAATATTGTCAAATCGATTATCTTCTCCCCATTTCAATATGCGTATCAGAAGAAATAATCCCAGGCGTATTGCCCAAATACACACTAGACATGTAACGATTATTTGTCTTGTATAATATGTCTGATGTAGAAAAAATGTTGTTAATGCTATGAGAATAAAATTCGTACTGCCCCCAAAATCTGTTATTTTGTCAAATTTTACAATGTAAGTGATAATAAAGAATATTAATTGATAACCTACTGTAATAATGATGGCGATCGCCAAATAGTTTTCATCCAAAATCGATACTGTCATTTAAACTAACGATGTTCTTCTATTGCTTACACAAAAATGAACTATCAAAAATAGAAGAACAGAATGAAAAAGCAACAGCTAGCTGTTAGCTATACGTTAGTTCCGTATGGAACTGTATGCAGAAAAACAATAAGATACTCAGTAAAAAGAAAAACACTTGAACAGGACAATTCTTCATTAAACTCTGTCACTGCATTGTATGTACTCTTTTTTATCTGCTATTATGTTGATTATGTAAAAGGAGTTACGTAACAATGTCACATTGACACTGTAGGAAGGAAAAACGATAGAGGGCGCTATAAACATGTTGAATATACTCTGATTTCCTTTTGAAAAAGAGTCTGTTACCAGTAAACAGTCAGCATTCATGGAATGTTAGGTAGATAGTAAAGAAAGATACTTTGTTTTTCAGGAACTAGAATGAACTTTAGAGTATTCATTCTAGGCAAGAACTTTCCGCTCTACAAAGCCTTCTATCTCCGATAATCGCATGCGAGTGTTGTTTCATTGCTTGAAAACATAGAGAGTTAATTGAAAAAATAGAACAGGTAACAAGCACTACAACAGAAGAAACAGGTTGTATTTTCGCCAGTAGATATACCAAGTCCAAGTCCAAAAATAAGACAATTTTCGTACTGAGAACGTATTTGTAAAGTGTTAAATGAAACAGTATTCGAATTTATCTAATAATCGTATAATTTAAATGTCTATTTTGGTATATGTATCCATTGTTATTCATTAGCCTGCTCTGTTTAATTAGTCCAGTCGCGTTTTTAGCAGAAAACAGAACCACTTTCAGGGATGTTCGGCTCCGATTCTCGGCTTAGAATCGAAACGGAATAACCGCGGTTCTCCGTTCGCAGCTTAGAACTGAATTTCATTTTTTCAGGCAGTAAGAAATCAATGAAATAGAATTCATTTTAGAGTAAACGAAAAGATTCTTTCGAATGATGGCAGGCATAAAAAATCTTTTTGTAGCTTTGTCAATAGTGTATTTTCATTTTTTTAAAAGACCGGAACCGGAACTTAGACCGGTTCCATTGTGAGAACCGGCATCGCAGTTCCGATTTCCGGTGAAGAACCGGAAATAAGAGAACCACGATTCCCGTTCCTGATGCTGAACTGAATGGCGGTTCCGGTCCTTGACGAGAATCGAGAACAGAACATCCCTAACTAAAACACTAATTTTTTTCTAGATACATGAAAAATAAAAAGAGATCAAATTACGTTTACAATAACACGGACTTCATTCTTGAATATGATAGATTCTAACTGGATTTCAAACGGATTTGATTAAAAACTCTTGATTCGAAGTCAAGTTCACCCAAGTCCGTCAACAAATACTTCAAGTCCGCACTTGGACTTGCCCACCTCTGAGCAGAAGTAATGTAGCGAGAAGTAATGATGCTTTTTCATAAGTAATTTACTTCTAAGTACGTCGAGTTACTTATCAAATCACAAGTGCTTGAATGAAATATCACAAATGATTCGACTAATTAGCAAGTACTTGGCAACTAAGTGGTTTTGAAAATTTTGAGAAGTACATGAACAACCAGTACTCGATCTCAAGTATATTCATTAGAGTTTTTATTTACTTGACCTAATTTAGTAATGTTTCTATTAGCTAATCATCTACATACATTTAGTGGCCATGCCATCGGGAAGAAGTTTAGCTCCCTCACTAAATTATTCAGCCCCTGTGTAAAATTTTTACCGCACCATAGAAATGAATTCTCAAAAAATCACCAAACTGTTCCATTTCCCGTTTTTAGAGTAGGTAACGCTGAAAACTATTAATAAACGTTTTCTGTAAGGAAAAGGTCAGAAAAGGTGAAATAAATATGAAAAAACCAGAAAATTATAACGAAGACTAGTTATAGGCTAGAGATGTATATCGCAATGAATCATAGTTTCATAATCTATTTTTGTAGAAAAGATCTTATTTATATATTTTTATTGCGTAAACTATACTGAAAAAATATTTTGGATTTGGCTTTCTCCTATAAAAATCTTGGATTCACTACCATATGCTCTATGTCTTTATTCAACGACTTTTCATCTCAAATGGGCAACTTCATTCCGAATCCGTTAACAATCATTCCATGCAGCAAGTACTACATTTTTTAATGTATTAGTATAGATATTACGCCAAATACACAGTCAAACGCTAATAAGATTTGCGTAACTCCCCTTAAAATCTGCTCATCTCTGAAATGACTACGTTCAACTCCTGCCGGAGTGGCCCATTTCTGATTCTTATCAGAAAACTAAATCAAGTATTAACAAGCTTGTTATCTGTCCTTCCTTACTCTACTCTATTTTTCTAAGTAATGAAACAGCATATGATTATCGGACATAGCAGGTTTTGTAGAGCAGGAAATTGTTGTCTAAAATGAAATCGGCGAACTTCATTCGAGTGTCTGAAAACCAAACAGTAAATCTATACTGTTCTTTGTTGAGCTGAAACGCTCTTTTAGAGTACAAGATGAATAAGAAATTGTAATGATTTTTCATATCATCAATCAATGTACATTTGACGCCTAACATTGTTAAAAGCGGCACAAACTTGTTGCGAAATGCAGAAATACGAGATAGTTTATAGCCGCGACATTGAATATGATATTTTTATTTGGTTGGCTGTCAAAAGGTAGTAAATACACCGAGATCCGGTCTAGTGTATTGAGCTATTCAAAAACGTTTAGTTTGTGACAACTGACTACATAATTTAGATTACATTTGCTTTTGCTGTCGTTCATTAGTGATGCGCATTTTTAAAAATAAAGCACTAAATTACATAAAATAGTATCTATAAAAAAATAAGTAACCAGTAAATTCCCCCAGAAGAAAAACAAAAACAAATACGAATTTATGAAGAGAGAAAAATATATAAATACCGGGATTAACTAAAACTTAAAAGGATTAAAAGACACAAAATATACCAAAACAATTACTGACGTGTATTCTAAAAAAATAAATAAAACGCGATGTTCATTTTTACCAAAGCTAATTGATCTTTCTTGTGGTTTGAACATAGCAACAGTTTGTGCCAATATGGCAGCATTTTAGACATACATACGCACACACACACACGCACAAGATCACAGTCAAATAATTATGTATAATTACTGAATATATAAAAATATCTTTTACATTTAGAAAAACCCTATAATTATCAAAAGTAGAAAAGAAGAAAAGAAAGAATTTTTATGAAGCAACTTTCATTTCAATTAATTGTTCACGCATACGTAAATTATCGGCAGTCGTTGTTTGCCATATGGTTTCTAATTCAACTTCTAAATTTCTAAAATTGAAATAGAACACGACTATTTTTCAATCGTAGGAGAGTGTTAAGTAAGACTAACCTTTTTTCGGAATATAAATCATCAACTAATACTTGTTTTTCATTTAATAGTGATAATAATTGTTGAATTCGTTGTTCTTGTTCTAGATTTCGAAGTTTTAAGTTTTCATGTTGCTTTTTCATTCTAAATGCAAATATATTTTGTGTTGGTGAAATGTAAAAAGATTAAATTCATTGTGTAACCTACTGTTCTTGAACTTCAGTCACTTTTTCTTTTGTTTTTCCTTTGTAAACCTATAAATAAGAATGTTATAGATTAAAACATACTTAAGAAATTAACATACTTCGAGTTTTTCTTCTAATCGTGCTAATTTTACTGATTCATCTAGGATACGTGCTTGATTTTTATTCATATCCTCTTCTTTGGCTTTTGCCTAAAGCGATAAAATATCTTAAAAACTGAGATATATGATAAATGTATATGTCACTCTACCATTGAATGATATGTATCACGTTCAAGTTTTATATGATCTGCTTCATCTGTTACTTTTGCTAATACTGATAATGTTTTTTGTTCTTTAATTTGCTGTATCTCTAATTTTTTTTCAAAATTTTGTATTCGAAGTTGAAATTTTCTGTTAATTTTTTTCAATGCTCTCATTTCTCCTTTTAATCGTTCAATTTCACTTTTACTATCGGTTAATTTAAGTGAAACAATCTTTTTTGATGATTCAGCATCTTGAACACGTCTTAATAATAAATGCATTTCTGATGCATGTTTTTCACTTAATTCATCTGTTAAACGTTTCATTTCACTTATTTCTCTAACATGTTCATCAACATTAATACGATGATCATTGGCAACCATTAATTGTTCATATCGTCTAGTTAAATCTTGATTTTTTAAACGAACAGTTTCCAAATTTTTATCGGTTTCTGTTCGTTCACTTTCAATTAATAATAAACGTTTTGTTAATTTCGATACTATATCAAAGAAAAAATAATTAATCATTGGTTACTAGATAAAAATTGAAAATTTTTCTTACCCTCTTGTATTTGTGATTTTTGTACATCTGTTAAACGATTTGTTTGAAATTCAAGTTGTTCTTGTAAAACTTTATTTTCTTCGAGTACAAGGTATGCTTGTTTCTTAATATGATCTCTAAAGAAACAAAAAATAGCAACATATGGTGATCGAATGAAGAGAGATGGGGATTACAAAATCGTCTAAATGTCTCCAATTTGGACTAGATTCTTTTTAAGATATGAATAAATTTAGTCAATATAAAATCGCTAATATATTTTCACTTAGTTTCTATATATATTTTCACAAATACATATTTCTGTGCTGTATTATAATTTTCTCATTCAACACGTATTATATTAATTGTTCAATTCTTTTTAGAATCAAGTGTTTAGAGGGTGCAAATGATATCTACTACAAAACGACGTACACATCGGATAGATGAGTTCCATCGTTTATCGTTGATTTAGATAATTTTTCATGCATTGTCAAATTTTCTTGTGAAATCACTTTGACTTGATTAGACAAGTCGCGTAATTGAGTCTAGAAACAAAAACAAAGTGTGAAAACACACAGCTTGAAATGTGCAATTTTAATCTTGTCAAACACATGCCATATAATATATTTAATCTCCTATATAATATGCTTACGCACTTGTATTTTTTTTAAAAATTCATCTTTTTCACGTAGTTTTTCATCGTAACAAATAAATAATGGTGCAAGAAACTTCTGATTCAGCTAGAAAGTAAAACAAAATATTATTTATTGAGTTACATATAGTGAAAAAATAAACGTACTAGCCAACTTGGAGTTGGTCCTTTCATAGGTAATCCAGTTTGCATTAACTTTTTCTGCTCTTTCTAAAAAATAATGTGTCGGATAAACTGTGAATTAACAAAAGTTTTACTTACCTCCATTCCCTTTTTATAAGACGCTGGTGGATACTGTGATTGTAATTCACTCAAGGCTGCATTCAAACGGTGTACGTAATCTTTTAATTGATGATTCTCATTCTTTAGTTCGCGTATTCCTGATTGACTTTGACCTAAAGTAATAGAATGAATAATGTTTCAAAAGTGGAATGCATCTTAAACGCAGCAGATTAAGAATTGTTCAAATTACTTGAATTTTTTTCTCTTATCTCGTCTAATTCTTTTTCAAGTTGCGCACAACGACTTTGCAGTGTCTTATTTAAACTGTCAAGATCACGGATTTGATCTAAATAAAATATATGTTATATAGATGTGAGTGTCTGTTGTCACCTGATTACCTCGACCAGATTGTCGTAAAAGATCAGATAAATCTCGTTGACTGATATTTTGCGTATCTTGTAAACGATTGAATAAGTCATCATAACGTCTTCGTTGTTCCTATTTAAAAAAAAGAAATTTGTTTATTAATCTATCAGAGCATACACTTTTTGTTTTCCATACAGAGTTCGACTGTTGTAATTTATGAACTTGTTCATTTAACAATGTGTTTTGTTCGATTTGACCATTATATTTTCTTTCTAGTTCATTGATATCTAGTTGATATTCTCGCGGCGGTGGAATGACTAAAACATGCAGTGTATAATTATGTAAAATACAAAATTAGATAGAAATATTATTTACTTTCTATTCTATCTTGAACAGCATCATTTGGCATTGAAAATACGGTCGCTGGGGTATATGCTGCTGAATGTGATGACTGTTTGGATAAGGATTCCGTTTCTGCCTCGAACGTTTCATGTACCGGCTCTCTGAATGTGACTGATAATGATTTACCGCTACCCTGCATATCAAATGAAGATCTTGTACTAGATTTTGTTTCTAAAAGTTGTTCTGATCTCATTATTGTTGATGCTTTTTGATTGGTAGTTGATTGATTTAATGGAACACTACTCGCCAAATTTAAAACAGATTGTCGAGTTACCGTGACGACTGCTGGTTGCAAACTTTTTTCCTAAAAAAAATTATTCGAACTGCTAGTTTGTGAATAAACGAATCTTTCTTTTTATGTACATACATCTGCCGATGACAATTCGTCTAGAAGAGCTTGCTTCGGATTTAAAACCGGCGTGACCTTCACTAGAGCATTTAAGGAATGCTTGGTATCACCGACGCCAGATACCTGACGTGAACTGCTGTTTGCAGCAGACGTCTCTGTAAAAGAAAAACTGATAGCTAAAACAAAAATGGAAAAAACGACTACCTTCATCGGTGATATGACCCATAGCTCTACGCTCAATATCAGATAATGTAGCCGAACGAGGTGTTGCCTGAAATCATAAGAAAAAAATGAGGTCGGATGGTGTCTAAAGAAAGAGCAAAAAATAGCACCATAATACGTACGCTTCTTATGTTCGGTGCATAGAATGGTTCGCGATTTTGTGCCCTTAGTTGTTGTCGTTCATCAATATTTTCATCAATATCACTATAAAATAGGTATAAGCAAATATTGATTAAGGTAGAAAATTCAAGTTACCTCTCCTCATCTGAACTTTCTCCGTTGCCCATCATACTTGATGTAACAACTGGAGGAGCGTTTCTTTCTAAATCTTGTGACGTTAAAAGACTGCTTGTTAGTGATGCTCTTAATAATGTGGATGACAACGGGCCCCATTCTTCTCCGCCTCGTGTTTTTTGTTGTGGAAATATATTGCCTACCGCTGGTACGGAGACTACTGAAGCTGCTGGAATGATGGCAGATGCAATATGGCTGTAAAGGCGCTAAAACAAGACGAAAGCTGTATTCGAACAAGGAAAGCAGAGGCAAAGTTTGCTCACAGGCTTGTATTTTTTGGCTTTCATTCTGGCAGTTTGTAAGTTTTACAGGGCACAGAATAATGAAAACTGCATTATTGCATAGCACCCATGAATTTTTTCCATTATCGTGGCTGTTGTTATAGAGACACGAGTATAAAGAACAATTCTAATCCGTGCTTGTTTTCGTATTATCAGTGAAAAAGTTTCTATACCACATATGAAAAAGACAATTCACTAAAACTCAAGAAAAAACATAAAATAAATATTATTCTCAGAGCGTGCGTTGCAGAGTATTTTGATCGATCAGTTTTAATGTAACAAGATGATAACGCTGTGAAATGATAACGAGAACGTCGAGCGTCATCTATTATAAGATATGCAACAATTACGGTTAACTGTAACTACAAAACTATCGAAGTGCAAATGTCGAACTTGTTTTAAAATACCGCCGATATCGCGCGGTGTTCAGAACTACCGCGGTCTAACAAAATATCGCTCGGTAATGGTGTATATCTCTTCACCTTTTTGCTTTGTACTAGTTTCGAACACGCGTTCCACGTGTTTATAATGAGGAAATACCGGGCAGCGTGGTATACCGCTCGGTATATCATGCTGTTCGGTAATCCGTGTGGTAATTTCGACTTACATGATGGTATACCTCAGTGGCGGACCTAGCCTACGAGCGATACGGGCGGCCGCTCGTACCTTTTTGAAATATATGAGCGAGTTTGATTTGAAAAATAACTTCAGAACGTATCATTAGCGCAAAATCGACTTTTTATACGGAGAACAGAATCGGTTCAAATTTTTTTTCTAAAGAGCTTATTATATGAATCGACGGTCAGCAAAGTATCTCTTGATTCAAATCACTTTTCGCATTTTTGGCGTGACCATGCATACCCCCCAAAAATTTAAAAGAACAGTAACAAGGTAATTACTGAGTAACTATGCAAAAAACAGAGTTTACACCACCTCGAACGTGAAATTTAAAATAAAGTTTACACTATCTTGGACAAAAAACTTTCGTTACACCCCCCCCAATGTCCGGCACCTACTCAGGTCCCTGGGGTCGGATTCGGGTTCAGATGTTATTGGGTCGGATCGGGTTCGGGTTAAGTTGTTGACGGGTCGGGTCGGGTACGGGTCGGCATTTTGGCAGTCGGGTCGGGTTCGGGTTAGGTGTTCTTAACCCGTGCTGGTCTCTAGAGCCCAACTATCGAGTGCCAGACGTGCGCGCTGCCTTCTAGCCTGCACCAGTTTTACAGTCCTACAGTTCTGTAGTTACAAATAACTGCTTCTTAACTGCAATTGGTGAACACTTATCTATTATACTGCATAAAAAATAATTAAAAAGTATACTGAGGATGGTTCGACTTCTCATACTGGCGTTTTTAATACAACAAAATATTGTTATGACTATTGGTCATCTTCTTATCGAAAATCTTGAGAAAGATCCTGCTTATCCGTAAAAATATCGCCGGAGGGCGTGAGTTGATCGATGGAAAATGAATACTGTTTGAAAGAAGAGCAACAATATCAAATACAAAAATGTTATCATCAACCACTCGAACCGATAGCTGATGACTTCATAATCAGACGGATAAAGTCACATGATGCTCACTGATTTGTATTCGAAATACGATGAGATGATTGTAGAGACATCCTTGGATCTGCGCCGGAGTATCTGAACTCTTGATGCCTTGCACCCATATCTTCGAAAACGGTGTGACTTACAGACACTTAAAAGTTCACTGTAGTAAATGTGAACAAGATGCAAGTATCCGTAATTCGTTGATGAAATGTTATTTGCTTATTGAAAAAGTGAATTGGTCATTGAATATATGATGATACATGAGATAAAATTAGAGTTAATGTGTCCTCTCAATGGTATTAATTTATTAACATCGTTTAATTAGTATTCCGGAGTGCTCACCTTAAAAACTGCTCACCTACGACTATATCTCTGACATGCGTCTAGCTTTCATTCTTTGTTGTTGTCCTTAGCTACGTTTTATGCATAAAAATAAAGATTTGCCTATTTCAATTTAGCAGTGATCTATCGAAAAATAAGGTTTCGTTTTTTCGTCTTCAGCAATTCATTTTTCATTTAGTAGTAGTTGCGTTTTTTCTCGTCTTAATCGAACGATTTTGCCACATATGTAAATAAAAGTCTATATTTCATAATTATGAATAACGAAATCAAAAACTCCTAAAATCACTTATCTTCTCGTTTACATTCGAAAGAGGGAGTAGCTCTCAATCGATTATTGAATGCTTTAGTTTCGTTACCTCAATTATCATTGACAAACACTAATGTAAATGATATAGACAACAAGAGTCAAATTTATACCAATGATAACAATAAGCTTGGTGTTCGAATGGCAAATATGTTCTTCCAGACACAATCAAAAGACAACGTCCAACTGAATTGTACAAAAAAGGATTATATAATGAAACAACAATTCCAAATGATGCTTATTCACACTTTTCTCATTTTATTGATCAACGACATAATGACATGATTAAATATTCAAATTTGTTCAAAATCTCATATTTTCCACGTACGCAACCGACCCAATGGCACGGTTGTTCCCTGGAATCAACGTATAACACGACTTTTAACTCATTGTTAACAGGGATCAATTGTGCAAATGTAGTGGGCAAAAATACTGGTGAAACCTCATTTCAATCAGGTTTTGTACATTTGCTTGAGGAACACGATAGCTGCAATAATCCATCCGTTGTAGACGAATTTGAGCATAATACTAGTTACAATAACAACAACAATTCAATGTCAGTGCATGAAGCGAGCGAACCATGTTGGATTAAAGCAACAGGTCAAGTATACGATAATTTAACTAATTTTCTTTGTCAGTTTCAAAATATGATCATATCCATTATTAATACGCAACGGTATAATCCAAATTTCCATTTCAATAATTTTTTAATTATTTCTGAACGTATAAGCCAATTACAACATGCACTCAATTGTGATCCATATTCAATTGATATGAATTATGTTAGTCAGTTTTTGAGTGAATTAAGTATGTTTACGTATGAATTGGGCGAAAGACAGAATGAGAGTATAAATAATGATTTACATGTTCAACAGGTAAATTTATTTTTAAAACTGACTAATAAGTTTGAAGATGCTATGAAAATTATGTATTCACAACAGATTATGCAACAACAAGGACGAACTGTTTGTGATAATGATGGTAGTTTGTATTTCTCTTCATTTGGGGCTCCTGTATGCTGCATGCCTTATTATGAATATTGCGTTACTGCGTCTAGTGCGAAGAATAAAGAAAATCGACATAAAAACGATTATGATAATTCACAACATTCGACAGAAGATCTTCATCGATTTATTCCAATGAAAATATTATCTCGAGAAGGTAGGACGAGAGGTTACAACTTGTACAGGTGACAAAATTTTCGTGACCTATATCATTACATATAAAAATTAATGTGATATATGACTTAAGAGAGGGGCTCCACCTATTTAGATTTCGTTCAAACTTTGTTAGTTTGCAGAGGATACCTGAAATATTTAGGTTTTACGAATATTGTCTGAGCGAGTTATTGAAATTGTTGTTTTTTTGTTGTTGAATTGCTGAAGGAAAATTTTCGGATTATTTTAGGCTATTTTCAAAAATTTAATAAAATTTCGTCCTATAAAATCCTATTTTGGCCTAAGTTTCAATTTGAAAATTTATTTTTCATGTCATTCGATAGAGCAGATTAAGATGTATGTGTGCAAAAAGTTTCATTGTTATTGGACAAGACTTGACAGAGAAATTTGAAAATCACTTGGAAAATGGGTTTTTAGTGAAAAAAGTGAGGTTTTATATGCACTTTCTCGTCAGGAAGACATTTTTGAGCAAAATCGTAGGAACGAAAATTGCTCAGAATCTTGTTTTGTATAAGAAAAGAGTGTTGCTAATGTGGAACTCCTATAGGCAAATTTTTAAAGTCAGAAATGCGAAACGTAGGCAGAGCTACAACACCTGACCAAACTTAGTCCTAAAAATAATTTTTTTGCCAGGTGAGATGAAAGCGTCCAAGAGACGTGAAAATCAAGCTTCTATCGTGCAAAACCCCTTGTTCACAGCTTTCTTGAAAATACTTTTTGCACCAAAAATGGATCCGGTGAGTCAAACCTAAATTTCTCCGTCACACCTTACCCGACAACGATGCAAATTGTTTTGTAGATGCATCTCGACGTGCTCTATCGAACAGCAACAGACTCAGAATCTTGTGTTAAAAAATTAAAATTTTAAAAATGAAGAAAAAAACTGAGGCTTAATTTCAACAATTTTTTCTCAAACGACAGATTCGGTAACGGAAAAAAGTCTCGAAATATATATTTCAAAGTGTTCTCTACAAACTGGTGGAAAAACCGAGTGGTTAGACCTCCTTAATATATGACCTTTTAGTTTTGATCTAACATAGTCTAAAGAAGCTGTGCAAAGTTTCGCATAAAAATAATAGCAGAAATATCAGCAATTTAAATTTGTTTTCATAACGTAGAGTTTTATTATTTCAACTTTACCAAACAGAAGAAAGTATCGAACCTACAATAAAATGATCACGTTTTTCCGATGTTACGTAAAGGATGAATATGTAATCGTGTATTTAGCATTGGTCAGTTACTGATTATTGTCCTGTGATTGAACACTATTTCAGTTCGTCGCTCGGATTTGTTTTTTCTTGCTACGGCTATCATAAACTGTAATCGAACCAACTTATGAGAATCTTAACTTAATCCTAATATAATCTATAAGTAAAGTTAGACTGAACCTTCAGATAGGACTTCTGGATTTTTGAGAAGCTTTAACTCTTACCGCATAAGACGTCAATATGAATCAGGATTTATGTGATCGTCGCTCATAAATTCAGCTTTTTATTAGATTCATTTGTTAACAGGTTCTGAATCCTCTATTGAACGATCAACGATAAATCTCTCCCGTATGTCAACTTTGAAAAATGGAGCTGGGAAATTTAATCATAAAACATTAGGCAGCACATCAGAAACAACTCCTCAGAGTCTAAAAGCGTTGAACGATACACCATCATTTCGCACGGCGACAACAGTGACACCAAACCAGAGAGCATTTGGTAAAAAATCAGATTTACTACCGAAAAATTGGACATCAACGCAGTCTGATCATTTTGCCGATGCACTAGATAGTCGAATCAGTTTATCTTCAACCGTTCAACCGTCAACTAGTCAACAGTCTAAAATGTTAAGCGATAAAGATCGAGCCTCTAATATTGTGTTTTCGATTAATGGAAGTGAGGAGAGTCTGGATGAACTCAATCTAATCGCTTTGCCTGATCCAGAGTCTGAACTACCTTCCTTCTCGTCACATCCAAGCGAGCGGAGTCCCGTCGATTCTATATCAGAAGGATCAACGAGAATATCCGACTTTAGAAGGCCAGAAAGAAAAGGGCAGTCAAATGTAAAAAGTGAAAGTTTTGGTGTTAACAGAGACATCTCGATCAACAATATAATCAGTGGTTATCATAATGCATTCAAAGGAAGGAATACTATTGATGGAAAACAATCTGATACCAGCGGAAAAGCATCACAAGTCAGAAAGAAAGAGTCCTTGCCCGGTCGACCGTTAACCTCGACTTCTGCACTAAATGATTCTAAAAATGGTCGTTCTCGACGCACCACAAACGAAAATAGCATGATAGTTAGTGAAAAATCGACGCCGGTCACATCAAAACAATCAAAAACAGGATTCATTCAAGATAGTACCTTGACACCCTCACTAAGCAATGCGTATACGTCTCGCGTTAATTCAGCACGTTTTTCTGAACGTGAATTGTCCTTACCTCAATACGCACATCACTCACAAAAACACAATAGAGAAGAACAACAACAAGCACAGAACATTCGCAACGAACTCTTATTCGCTCTGGGAACAAAACAAAAGATGAATGAAACCACACTGGTACCAGATATCTCGGATATTTCACTGTTGAGTGTAGAAAGTCCACAAGATAAGAAAAAACAAAAGTCAAAATCATCTTCTTACTCGTCATTTGTCTCCCATTATTATCCCGTAACATCTGAGAACATTCAAACAACTAAAATATCCATATGTAATGAAAAAGAAGAACAAGATAATCAGAATCGAAATCAACATAAAAGTATTCAACCGTCGACGTTATTGCAAAATTTCGCTGAACATGATGCAACAAAAGCACAAAATCAACAGCAGACGAAACTCTATATGAAAATGAACCATGTCGAAACATCAATGGGTTTAGATGCTGAGGTTGTTAAGAAAATAGCAGTAACATCAAAAAAAAGAAATAATGATATTGATCCAAAAGATACACTTTTTAAATATTCAAAAATTTATAGTGCTGAAAAATTGCAACGCCTTAGTAATTCGAATGAAAGTCTACCAAGTAGTAACTATCTTTCGAAATTGACACGTTGTTTTCGGCGTTTTAGAAATTCTTCGTTAATCAAATAGAATCGATTGAAACCTTTATCCTTTTCATTGCTGTTAGTAAAGTGTAATACAAAAGCGAAACAAAGCACTGAACTGCAGTAACTGCAACAAATAAATACGATAAATTATTTTTATTTAAAACATATTTACGAGATTAACAGCAAAACAATTTCTTGGTTATTCGTACTAAAACAATAGCTCAGCTGGACTTTTTAATATCTCTGACATCTTCATACATTCTGTAAAAAAGATGTTCTTCAGTTTTTCAAAGTACTGAAAAATCAATGGGAATTTTGTTCTTCATTTGTCCCAAATAGTGAACTCAAATTCTGTTCTTCAGTTTTTGAAAAACTGATTTTTTTCGTTCTTTGGAGACTGAAGAACAAATTTTGAGTTTTTGAGAGTTGAAGAACGGAATTTGAGTTCACTATTTGGGATAAATCAAAAAAAAATTCTCATTGATTTTTCAGTATTTTGAAAAACTGAAGAACACCCTTTTTTATAGAGTGTATATAAAAACTACTGGATTTTAGTCTGTATAACATAAAAATATCGCAATGAGTACTTCACAATCTGCACCACACATTTTAAGTGTAATGAAATTATCTGTTTGATCATTCCATAGACATCGTGATACACACGTTCCACTTTGATTTGTGTTTTGAAAAACGAATGCTTGTACAATAATTTTATATCGTTCTTCGGCTTTCATTGTAATAAATGATTTTACTCTTGTACGAATTGAATTAATCAAATTTGTTGTTAGGATTTGAATATTTTGATGATTGTAGCGCATCTGTTTCACTTGCTCTTTTAATTTACTGTTTTCCAATTCTAATTTCAATTCATTAAAACGTATTTTATATGCCGGTTTTAATTGAAAAGTGGGTGAGTGATGACGACCACCAAAAGACATTTCACGTTGTAAACCGGTATCGATACGAGCTGGAATATGTCCATACAATGAATTACGTTTGGATAATGTAGATGATGTGAAAGAAGTTGAAATAGAATTTCGACGAAGAAAATGAAGAGCAGCTTCACGAACAACTGGACTATAAAAATTATCCGTCGTAGTTGGTATACTTAAATTTGTTGAAGAAATATGACTGTCAGGACTTAAGGGTGATCTGCTTGGTTTGTGTTCCCATACACGGTGCTTTTCAGCAATTGGTTTCAATTTCGGTAGTTTTAATTGTGACTCAAATACATTTGGCCGATGTTTCATCACACTTTTCTCGTATGTCCTACAGATAAATAAATAATAATTTTAACTAATTTTAAATATGGGAATTTTGACTTACATATTTATATTTCGAAAGTACAGGATTTGGACTTTTTTTTCCTTCCCTTCCGAACGCATGAACGACAGGCTATACTAGGCTGTCACGTCTTAAAATTCCTACTTACATAGTTGATAGCCAAATCTTGCATGTAGATCTAATGTGTGATATTTTCCAGATAAAGTGTTGATTTCTAAGAAGGGTTGAGGGTACTTCCGTTTTCCTTGTGTTGTTTACATGACTCTGCTTTTAGCGCTTATTAAAAATCTAAGAAGTTTCATATTTAAGTCTCGAAGGGGCTGCTATGACAAGATTTTCTAATAATAATAAACCGTCACGTTTTTTACTGTTTATTAAAATTTTAGTTCAAATCTGAAAAAAATGTTCTTTAGGAGTCGCTTTTTTGTCTTCCTAGTAAAAAAATTGTGCTTTTTCAAAAACTTTTTTAGCTTTTTAAACAAACTCTATGTGGTTTAGTAGAATATGTGGAAGCTTACGATAAGAAACTATAGTATTTCATTCAGTCTAAATCCTAAAACGTACCGAAAGTACGACAAGACACTTTTTTTAATTTGCAATATAACAGCGGTTTCGGTTTTTTACTGTTTAGAGGACGTTTTGTAAATCAAAAACTTTTTCAGGTATCCACTGTATTATTGACGAAATAACAAACAATATCGCACTTTTACTTTTGAAAAAGTAATTGCCGTCGAAGATAAGTGAAATTATTTTTAAATTTTACAATCTTCCAGAGAAAAACATCGAAACTGTTCTGACTTTGTTTCCAAAAACCTTCTATAGTGAAAAATAAATAAAAGTGACATTCTCGATGAGACAATCTGTACAAAGGTTTTCTAACTTTCATTCGAATTACTAAAGCATTATAGTTTTCCAGTACTATTAATTTTTGAATGTTCAAAAGGATCAGTATCATTATTAATATCCTAATTGACTGTTTTACGCTTTAGAACTAGGGAGACAGTGTCAACTGATTCACAATTGGATAATCGATTTAGCAATTCTCTAAAACTTCTACTACTTCAACAACTCTTTACCAACACCTGCTCATGAAAATAGTCAGATCAACTCAGCGTCTTAGCGGAGAAACAAGAAATCTTTTTCAGAATGTTTAAGGAGTATTTTTGAAGAACTTTATTTTTTTGAAGTAGTCTTAGTTTCCCGAATGCATTTTTCTTTTTTAAAGTGCGTTTCTTTTTACAATGCACTAAATACATTCAATATCAAACACCTTGTGAAAGTTTAACTCACCTAGTTGTTTTTGGAAATTTCACCTATCTAGATTTTTTTAACGATATAGCCGTATGTTTACTAATAGTAACAAAAAATACGATCTGATAAACGAGTTTTATATGATTTAGTACAAAGTGAAGAGCGCAAATAAAAAAAAGAATAACTGTTTACGGATATGGTTATACATCTTATATATTCTAATCAAAAACTGCTGTATTTCTGTTTTCGATTATTTAAATGTATCACTTCAATTTTATCCACTTTGATACGTTTTTTAAACTTACAAAAGATATCTCACAATTCAAAAAAGAATTTTACACTTTTACATAAGCATTTACATCCAAATTTTTTCATTTATCAACTTACCATTGTTTTGGAAAGTACCGTTTAGCGTAATCTACCATTGTTTCTTTGGTCTCTTATTTAGATTGATCAAAACTTTTTTTGACGATTTCGAATAAGTTGTATTTCTGTCGGATTTGATTTTGATCAGAACATCAAATAAAAAAAATGTAAAGTTAGAGTATGTGTTATTGTTGTTATGTTAGTTAATGGAACAAAAAGAAGAATCAGTACGTGTGAACAAAATTGTATATTTAGGATGACTTTGACATGCAACTTTTCGGATAGAATAACAACAATAGAAGAACGTACGAGAATGTGTATTTAATTTATCATCAATCCTTTTAAAATCAAATGAATGTAGACCAGTTATATTTAGATGAAAATGCGTAGAACAGATCAATACGTCAGATTTCATATACTCTTGAAAATTGTCTTAATAGACTGCCATCTTAATAAAGCTATGACCTAACAACTTTATGAGATTTGTTTCAATTTTCAAGTGGCAACTATCTCTTTATATAAAAATTTAATTTTTGTTCTATTACGTGTATAATTTGCGTATGAACTGATTAAATATCAAGTCAATTTGCGTGTAAACTTTTAGTCTAAGTAAACAGCTATATAAAAAAGCGTTCTAAACCCCTACAAAGGAAAAAAGCAATTTAGAAAAGAAACATTGTGTTAATTGCATTAGTATACCTTCTCACTTTTTACAAACATTTTTATTTTCTGAGGAAAAAAAAGAAACAGACGCAATAGCCCTTTAAACCAAGATGAGGATCCATTAGGAGAATATCTGGGGCTAGTTAAGTAGTTTTTGATCTTATTAGATGGATTGGGTTATACGTAAGTAGAACGAAAACCATTGTAAAAATAATACCATTACAAAGATTTTTAAAAAAGTGCAAAGTGTCTTATCTCTGTTCTGTTTATTAGTATTTCATTAAAACTTTTGAAATTAGAAGTTTAGATACCTGAAATTTTCTAATGAAGGCGGTAATACATGTTACCGTGGTGCCAAAACTAAATCTGAAGTAAATTAATTTTTTCAAGTGAAATCTGTTTCAATCCATGTCTTCAACACTAATTATAAAACCTTCAATCTTGTCGACAACCACACCTCTTTCATGTATATGTCCGAATAGTAGTCGAAATCTAAATAGAGTTGCAAATGCGCGTATTAATCAACAAGTGGTAGTAGACGAAACATATCCATCCGCATTTACACTAGTCATTGTTGGTATTTCACTAATTATTTGTGCTCTTATTGGCAATATTCTTCATATTGTCTTTGTATTGCGTTTACAAAAAACATATGTTAAACAACCATTAAATATTATAATAACACAAAATAAATCAACAACAGCTTCAAAGAGAGCATTGAGTCAATCAAGTTTAATAAATACAAATTCAGTGGGATTATCTACTAGTATCACAAGTCTTTCTTGAATCAACGACATTGTACAACGACAAGATTTTTTTCAATTTAGTTAACCAACAAAACTACATCGAATAATTGACGTATATGAATTTCTGAATAACGAGTAAATAGCACATAGGTAAGAGTGAAGAAAACGTTTTGCAGTTCATACAGTCTTTAATCTATAGACACTACGAGTTCTGGTTGATTAGATATTTATGTGTTATAATAATAATTTTTTTTAGATCACATTGTAACCAGTGGTTCAGATTAAATAGCACGTTTAGTATTTTGT